GTGAATTCAGGAACTCAGTTTGGTCCCATTGCCCCATTCGCCGCTGTTGGGGCCTTGTTAGCTAGGGTGCAATTCATACAGAGGAACCAGGGAACCCAAACACCCCTTTCTTCCACCCCACCCCTGGTGTCGCTACTGCCCCTCCTCTCCAGGAGAGGTCAAACAGTCACAGGCTTTGCAACCTCGCAGACCTCCCTCTGGCTTCCGTGGTGTGCCCTGTCCTGCCAGGCACCCTGCCCAACCCCCTTCCATACCCCTGCCTTACCGGAGTCCTCAGGGGCTGGAGAAGCCTGACATCACCACCTTGTCAGTCCTGCAACTCCTGGATCTGGACTTTCCAACCCTTCCAACAGACACCCCCTCCACCACCACCCTGTACCTCCCCGGCAACGAAGGGCCCCTGCCCCGCCTCCTACCTGGTAATTAGTTTCCCATTCCTTCCTTGGCAGGGGCGGGAAGGGCAGGGCAGAGAGCAGAGAGAAAAAGTGTCTGGTCTCTGAGCATCCAATGTCCAATCTCCAGGTACGCAAACAGGGGTGCAGTGGGAGCAGCTAGTGACATCGGCCACCATTTTGTCCCAATACCTACTAGGAGCGTTGGGGTCACCTAGTGCAGTAACTTGGTGTTACTGCCAACATGGGGAGGGCTGGGGGTCGACCCCCCCCCTTGCCTGCCCCTACCATGGTGCACCAACCTCTTCCTGCTGGGTTGCTTGACAACCCCACCCCTCAGGTGACCAGCTGGAGACCTTGAACTACATCCACCCTGAAGGGCCTTTGAGGAGAGAGGGCGCTCAGGGAGTTTCCCAGGACTGCACTGGTTGAGGAGCTTAGAACTGCCTTGGCAGGTCCCTCACCCTTGGATCCTGGGATCACTTTGGTGTTAATCTCCCTCCCCCTCACAGTGCCAGGGATTGCTTTATTCAATCCCCCTTCTCCCATGATGGTCCTGCCAGGTACCTAGTGCCAACACACTGGGGTGGGGTAGGGGAATCACTCCTCCCCTCTACTTGAACACTGCATAAAGCAGCGGCATCAGCCTTACCATTTTTTCACCCCCACGAGTCCTGGGAACCTACAGTGTGTGCTGAAACATACTTCACTATTGGCTCTTTATGTCTTACAGAACACATTCCAACTGTTTATGTTGATGGTAGCTGCAGCAATAATGGGAGATCTGGTGCACAAGCTGGATCCGGAGTCTACTGGGGACCTGACCACCCAATGTAAGGAAGAGAAGAATAAGGCTAAAATCATAATCAAACCAGTTGATTCCCACTCATAGCAACCTTAGCAAGCCAAGTAGAGCTGTCGGGTAGGGTTTCCAAGCCTGTCATTTTTTACGAAAGCTACCAGCCACATCTTATTCTAGAGGAGGGCCAGTGGATTCCAATCTCTGACATTTTGATCAGCAGCTGAGCACTTAACCACTGCTCCAGGTCTCTTCCAAACTCGTACTCTGCGTAAAAGAGGCTGTGCATGAATTACTCAAATGCATGCCTAGCACTAAACCATGCAAGCAAGGTCATCATGTACTCAGCCTTTGATGTATATTTCTATTTAATGACCCATCTGCCAATCCACCAAATAGGTAAACTAAAATTCCCCCATCCCACATCTCAGCCACCCATCACCTGAGATGTCCACCATGCTTAACCTGTTCATTTTCAGAGAGGGATATTACTAAAGACTATCAAGGGGATCCATGGTATCTAAAACGTGCATGACCATGGATAATTAATTTTTAATTCACTCTTTATCAAACACTAATGCTGATGCTAAATTTTAATTTCTGTTAGCAGCAACTATTACAGATTCAGATAAAATACTTAATTTGATAGTTTTCATATATCAGAATTTAAAACATTGCAGATGAATTCTAATAATTCAGTCCAAAAGGAGTCACCATGAGATTTATGGACATTAAAATTTTTTTATTTGATGGAAAAGATCATAACTTTCTTAGTACAAAAATGTTAGCATAAAATGTCTGGGAGGTGGGATGTATCTTGGGAGAAGTATTTTCCCCGAGGATGGCTGTCAGCACTGACACTGTTGAACTTTGATTTACGTTGGTGGACTTTTCAGCAGCCACACATATCAAATGGGCAGTCACACTCCATTGGGTACATTTAAAACTACCACTTCCATGTCTCCAGGTTGACCTCCACATTAACGCCAGATCTAAATCTGTAAGACCTCTTTCAGATAATCCCTGGGAAGGGCTCTTAGTCCTTATATTATTTCAGAGTTGAACGTCAATAATTATGGGACATTGACACAATGGATGTATGTGTGGATTGTGATAAGAAATGTATGAGCCCCAATAAAATGATTTAAAAATAATAATAATTATGGGGAGCAATGTGTTTTCAAGTTGCCAGAGATTATATTTTTCACAAAAATGTAAACTTTCTGACACCCGAGAAGAGTCAAAATGTAGATTGCTTCTCATAATGGTATATGAACCCATGGGAAGTTTCTTAAGACAATATTTAACCAATTATTTCTAAATCTCAAAACAGGAATGTAAGTGAGAGGGTTTATGGACGACAGACAAATCAGACAGCAGAGCTGTGGGTAAGTTGTGTTATTTCTCATAATATTGACATACTGACTTTTAGCTTTCTATTCTTGTTCGGCACCTAGTGCTTGTGTCTGAGGGGAAAATTGATTTAAGATGAACAACTTTCTTTTCCGGTATGGACTAATGGTGACGGTTAGAGGTCAGGAATCAGTGAGACTGGCCCCTCTCCGACGTAGGCTGCTAGGAAGAGCTTTCTGAATTCATTCTGGGTTCCTTGTCCGCTCCATCCTCATTATGGAGGTGTGTCTTTGCAGTCCTTCTAGATTTTTTTGCCCTCACCAAAATAACAAGATCGTATTTCCCCTCTTGAGAACACTTACGTTTACTGTTTTGCAGGTTTTGCTATTTTAGTCTCTACTATTCATTTATCTGGCTTTTTAAACAGCACGGCACCAAAGAGGAACTAAGCCTTCCTCTCTGCCCTCCAATTTATAAAGTGAATGAAGAGAACCAAGTTCGTTTTTCCATTCCTTGCACCAAAAAGTAACAGAGGGACAGCGCTAAAACTTTTACCCCATCACCAGTTACTGTGCAGTTAATCCCTGTTTGTGACTGCCTCATGTAAGTCAGATCTGTCCCAGGTTTTTCTTGGCCATGATCTTAATAGACAAAGAGTCCTCATAATTGCAAATCATTTGTACAGAACTGCTAACTGAAAAGTGAGTTCAAACCCACCCAGTGGCTCTGTGGGACGAACCCCTGACAATTTGCTCCCTCCCGTCAGCACTCCTCGTGCCCATGGTTGCTGTGAGTTAGAATTGACTCCATAGCATGGGGCAGCCACAGAGGCAGTTTCCCAGGCCTTCTGTGAAGCTGGTCTTGTAAAATCAGAATCTCCCTGCTGCAGAAATCCTTGGAGAGGCAGGCTTTGGGCAAGAAGGTTTTGTTTTTTTGCAAGAAGTTTTCTTTGTGAGCTTGATTAGGACATTTCCTCTCACTGGCTCCCCAACAAACAAATGCTGAGAGGGAGGATTTACACATTTGAAAAGGAGTTTGGGGGGAGGAACATTGGTAACCTTGTAACTAAGTTATTGGTAATCTTGTAACTAAGTTATGGAAGATTAGGAAACATTTCTACTTTCTTATCCTACTAACTGTTCTGGTAGTTGGTGACAGACATGTTTCGAATGGTGCCGGCACTGTGCAATGATTTATTTTGCTTTTTCTGGGACTCAAAAGAACAACCTCGAGTCTGGTTAATCTTTATCAAACACTCCCTTTCTCTGACCTAAAATCCTGAACTATTTGTTTGAATTCTTATTGCAAAGAAACAGAAATGAATTGCAGTAAAATAAACATTTTAATTATTAGCTCACTCTTCACTTAATTGTACTATGCATATATTTAATGTTGCCCTTCAATTCTGTTGATAAGAATTACATTAATCCCTAACTTCTAAAGGCAGACAGCAAAATTGGAATAATCCATTATATATTCTAGCAGAATGACAAAGGCAAGCAAAATGCATATGTGACCACAGCAGTCCACTGAGGTGCACTGTGTCTTCAAAGCCACCAGGCTGGTTCTGTTCCACCGACCTTTGAGGTGGCAGCCGACGGCAAACTGCTGAAGGCCACCAAGGTTTCCAGATCCACAGACAATTGGATATATGTTCAACCACAACAGTTCTTTAACTGTTAGCCATCACTACCAATCGGGGAATCTAAAAACTTCTAGGTGTCAATTAAGCATATTAGTTTTAAGCACACCCCCATCACCACTCACTGTGGTTCTAGGATAAATCTGAACTCATCCTGCCCTCCTAGATCAAGAGAACAGATGAGAACTAGGGTGTGCTCAGGGGAGTATGATCACTGGTTCTCAACCCCCCTAATGCCGCGACCCTTTGATATAGTTCCTCAAGTTGTGGTGAGCCCCCAACCATAAAATTATTTTCATTGCTACTTCATCACTGTAATTTTGCTACTGTTATGAATCAGGCGGCCCCTGTGAAAGAGTCGTTCGACCTCCAAAGGTTGAGCACCATTGATGTAGATAATTATGTACATCTTATGTTAAATCGAATTTTTACATATATTTTAAATGGCAATTTTGGGTTTTTCTAAAGAAAGAATGTCAAACTTTTTTCTTACAGGCAGCTCACAAAGCAATTGAACAAGCAAGAACTCAAAATATAGATAAACTCATCATTAAAACTGATAGCAAGTTTGTCATCAAAGGTAACGTCCATGGAGAATGGTAGTAGGTTGTAGATTGCCAAGTAAAATCATGATACTTGAAAGTCACTTTCTTCATTGATTTCATTTGGAAAAATGGGTGGGTGAGGGATGCTTGTGCTGCTGGGGGGAGTAGGGGGGTGGCCAGAAATCAGAAAGTTGTCTACTTTGTTGTTTGCCTGAGTGATTCTTCAGCAAAGACAACAGCCGCAGAGCAATGAAAAGATGTAGTAAGTGCAAGAGTCCTCTAAGATTTCTAAGGCTTCTCTTGATTAATCTTTAGCTAAAGATATCCAGCCTACTATATTCAAGACTAGGAAATTGAAAGCCATATCCACCCCTACGGCCTTATTTCCTAATACGGAAATATCTGCCTGTCCATGAGCCTCAAAATCTTATGAAAACAAAAGCCTAATGTGGCAGTCTTTCAGCCACGATAAATCTCTCAGCCTCATCCTTTGATATAAATGAATAAGATATCTGCACATGTGGATTATATATAAACGTAAAATGCCCAGTACTTTGCAGACGTATCTAAGGTTAGTATATCTTTATCTGTAATCCTGTGAACAGACTCTGAATTTGGTGTAGTGTAAATTTTGGTCCCTACCTTTTTACACACTCCCAATTTTGTAAGGATTTGGTGTTAACATTGAAATCCTTGAGCGGTCTTATGCATACATTCCACCTAGATGTACTTCAGTGGTTCATCTAACCATCTCTTATCATTCCCTACCACCAACTCCCCACTCCTCTTAATTTTTGCTCCTTCAACTTCACAGAGAAACTAGGGAAGAGAAATGCCTAACATGATATCTACCATTTGTTTTGCAAAAACAGCTTACCTCACAGTGTCTAAACCGAGGTGTATTTAAAATCTGCAACGTTCGTGAAGTATAAAACAGGAGGAAGAGAATCATAGCTCACAATGTTAATTCCATCCCTTTTTCCAAAAGAAATGTTTTACTCTGCTGAGGATCTTTAATCCTTCTGAGCTGTCCAAATTCTAGATTTGCAGGATACAAGTGTGAAGACTAAATTTGCAAAATCCTATGGGAACACGTATGGTTCTCATAGGTAATTGGCCATACGGAGATTTTTTTTTTTTGAAAACAAACGTTAGTTCATTTTCTCTTCAGAAGATGCTGTGTTTTCATCAATTAGGTGCGACAGAGTGGGTTGATAAATGGAAGCAAAATGGATGGAAAACAGCCTCTGGAGGAGACGTTGTCAACAGAAGTGATTTTGAGAAGATTGATCAAGCCTCCCAAGGCATGGCTATTCAGTGGGTGAGAGAGCTTGTTCCGATTAAAACCCACCCCTACCCCAATCCAATCCCGAATCGCTTTTTGATCTGCCTCTGACTCACCGTAGAGACCTCCTTGTTGATTTATGGTAGAGAATCTTTATATCAATCATCTCTGGCACAAAAGGACCTTGTTTATAGGTGAAACTATCTGGTCCTGTAAACATTTACAGCCCCAAGGACTCAAAGGTCAGGCCCCTCTGTCCTGTAGGGTCTCTATGAGATGGAGTTGACTTGTGCTTTCATGAGTGAGTAATTAAATTTCAGTAGTTTCCCTCACTTGCGGAGAGGAATAAGATGTCAAAATAAAGCTTAATGCTGCTGCCACCTTAACGCAGCTTTGAAAGAGTGGCGGAATCTAGGAAGCTTGCCTTCAGGGCTTAACATTCTGAAGTCGACTGCAATTTCCCACTGTTACTTATGTTACATTCGTCCTTTGGAAATACTAATGCCCCAAAGTTTTGTTGTTCTTTAAAACAACAACAACAACAAACAAACCAGAGAAGACATGCACAATGACCTAATTTTTCACGTAGTGGATTGGTTGATTAAAAGCACAAATTATCAATGGGGAAAGCGCCCCAAGGTTCTCTAGAAGACCAGCTTGAAAATACTTGATTGAGCCCATTCTGCAACAATGCACACCCTTTTCCATTCTAACTTGAAATGTGTGTGAAGAAAGTACCCAAGGTTATTGGAGGACCAGTTTTGAGCCATAGCAAATATATTTGTGCCCTTTTAACGTGACTGACCTGTGCACAGGGGACTTGTACACAATAGCATTAATGTCACACAAGTTTAAGTAAAACTTTGGATTTCATTGTATTTTCTCTCTAGGAGTATGTTCCTGGCCACCGAGGCATCAAAGGCAACGAAGAAGCTAACCGATTGGCTGTAGAAGGAGCTAAAAAATAGACTTCATTTCCATCAGAGGTTGTGAACCTTCGCTTTTGGAGTTATATCTGTTGGTGTCAAATTCCGAAGATTTTCTTCCCTCTTTCTCACGGCCTCCATTTTGTTTTTACCTTTTTGTTACAATTGGTATTAGCATCTTTCTAGATGAATAGAAACACACTCTCCACTTTCAAGAGCTGGTTTCATTCACATCTTATGTGTTTGCAAGTCAAGCGAAGAGATTTAACATGGGTGTAGCTATTTTGTGCTTTAGAATTATGTTCAATCCAGATGTTTTAAATTTTGATGAAGTAAAGAGACGAACTTTCACTCTGCATACCTGAGTCTGCCTTCTGTCTTACTTTTGCTTTCTTTGTTTTTTAAATGTAAAAATCAAACTGCCGGTACAGATACATGTTAGCAATTCAATGATACTTACTACATTTTTTTTGTATTATCACTAACCTTTTCCAGCATTTCACTACTACCAGATCCAATGTCTTCCAAATGGCTTTACGTTAGAATTTGAATCTTAGATCTAGAAATCATTTCTAAGATGCCAAGGTTTTTTCAAAGTGATGAAGAATCTTTGTTCTAGTCCAAGAGGTGGCAAACTTTGAGATGGAAGAGACAGTCTTATACCTCACAACAATTTAAAAATTATTCAAGAACCATACACATATTTCTACAAACAAATGAATCCCCTTTATCCGAATGATACCCTTTAAATTTTTAAAATTTTAATTCAGAGCCACATAGAGTTTGCTGCTCCCTGGTTTAGAAAAATGTCCTTTTTTTTCTCTTACTGCTGCAGCTGCCACAGTGTCTACCTCTTGGTAAGAGAAAGCTAAATAAAAGCTAGGTTCATTTGTTCTAGGCATATTTTCCCCTGAGACTTTGCTGCTTCCAAAATAAAGGGTTTAAATTGTGTGTTAGTCTGGGTACTTTAGAGAAACAAATCCACAGGAACTCATGTTTAAGAGAGAGTTTTTAAGTGCACATCAAGAAAACATCCCAACCCAGTGCTGCCCAAGCCCACATGTCCAACATTAACCCATATGTCCAACACCAGTCCACAAAGTCCTCCTCCAGCTCACAAAACACACTGATGCCGATGGCAGAAGGAAAGCTGAGTCAGTGAATGTGTAAGCGTCTCAGCGCTGGCAGGGGTCTGCACATGGCTTCTCCAGCACCCAGGGCTGCATCGGGGTAGGTCCATGTGGCTTCTCGGGGATGTCTTGCAGGAAGTGAGCTTTGCCAGCTAAAGCAGGGAATTGGCTAAAGCAGCTGCACCCTGGTCTGACCATCAGAAAGAGAGACCCGAGAACTAGAAAGGTGAGGCTCACCGAACCATTTATCCCTCCTCCCTTCAATTAACCCCACATGTGTTTATCAGCCAGGTTGGCACAATAAACTACCTCAAATTGTTTTAACTTAAGATAGGTATGCAAAAATATAAGCAGAGGCAAGAGCTGAGGCTTAGGAGTGAGTAAGGGGATAAATTAAACTGTGATTTAAGCCTTATTAAAATTACATGCTTTTCCCAAGATGATGAAATATAGCTTAAGATGCTACCTAGGTTGGTCCAGTACTCTGCCTTTTCTGTGTATCACTCACTCTGAGGTGGAGGGGACCTTGGCTTGGAGTTTAGAAACAGTACATTTTGGGCCTTTGAACACCTTCAAATTTGTTAAAACAATACTTAGAAAGCTATTAAAATTCGTACTTAAAGTATGAGTTCATTGCAGTTCAAAATTGCTCTAGAAACAGGATAGTTGGGCTGGTCTACTTGAAGTCTTTTTAAAATTAACCAAGACTCCTGCATAGAAGTAACACAAAAAGCAGACGTGTCCACTGTTGCTTCATACCTTTTAAATTGACATTAGTTCCACTTTCAGTCCCTTAGGCAATATCAATGATCAGTTCTCAATGAGGTAGGTATTGGGAGCCGTTCGCATAGCCTCAGCTCCATCGTAAGCTTGCCCTTCATTCATGTTGGAATATCATACATTTAATTCTACTCGAAGACCAGTGTGCTGTTCACAATCAACCTGGAGAACTTCCCTGTGCCATCTGGCAGCATAGAATCCTAAAATCTAAAGGCATCCTGCTTTGTGTGTTGGTTCATGGAAGCCCTTAATTCCTTATGTCACAATTCTGGACTCCATGCCTATGGCATAATCCCATTTCCGAAGGGATTCTCTACCAATGGACAGGTTTTTAAAAGCAAACTAAATTCACTGCCATCAAGATGGTGTGAGAACCCAGCCAGGCCCTTTGTTTCACTGGGGCATACTTGATAATATCTTAGAGGGTGTGATTTAAGACAGCGTTTGTTTTCTTTGGATGAAGTATATATACTTGTACCACTGAAGGGTTGTGACACACGTCACCTCCCTTGGAAAGCCATATCTCTATTTCCTGACTGAATTTTGGTAGAAGTAAGACCTGTGACTTTGGGACATGTGTGGCTTCTAGCTTTGGACCTCTTCTTTGGCTCACCTCTGCCTGACCTTGGGATTTGGGACTTAACAACACCCACAACCATGTGACACATGTCCGTAAAGTTTCATGTGTTTTTGTGAATGCTGCAGGGACTCACAGAACCCAGGGACATGATGTACTATACCAAGGGAAGAGGGGAAGGTAGACGGAAGAGCATCTTGGAAGAGCTGAACTTTTGAGATCTATCTCCAGCTCCTTGCTGGGACTTACCTGAAATTAATTCTTCCAAAAGAAAGTATTACCTCAGCTGGTGTCAAAAATGGTGCCAGAGCTCAGACTTACTGGAAAATGTGGTTTTGGGAAAAGAGTGTCCTGGGAGAAATGAGAAACCTTTAACTACCAATAGATTTAGAGCAATTATTATGTTGCAATTCTTATCCAAGGCAACAGCTATCAATGTAATACAGAATTGGTGGGTGTAGATCTCTTGAGTGATTGGCTGCATATAGAAATACAAAGTGATAAGGAATGGGCAAGACATCCGATGGTCTTGGTTCCTGTTATCAACAGTAGCTGCAATGGCAGAGAAAAAGAATGTGGGAGTGAATTGTAGCACTGAATCAAGTCCAGAAGAGTTCAGTCAGCGTGACAACCTCTAGTCTCAGGGCCAGCTCATAAAAGAAAAATTGTGTTACAACAACAAGAAGTATTCCTAAAATCACGGGTCAGCGAGAAGGGAATCTAGGGGGAAAACCAGGAAATTCTTGAAACCAGTGGGTAATGGGATAAAGGATGTATTTCGGTTGATAGACCTGCCTCTTCAGCTTCCTGAGGAACCATTACTATAAGGGATTGTAAGCGTGACAAATTTAGGGGCAGTCTCCTTGGTTGTGGGAGCTGCTAAACGGAAGAGTGTGTTGGAGTCGATGCCACACCCACAGCTCCCTATGAAGAAGTCACAAATAGTCATCCTAGTCACAGGAAGGTTAACCCAGATGAGACAACCATCTGGTGGCCTGGACAAAATTTGCAGAGCAACTTGCTTACCCTGAGAATGGAACTTTTGCCTTTCCTTCCTGATATACTCCCTGGAGAACAATAGAGGAAGCTAATGGGGTGCTTAGAGAAGCAATGCTAAAATGGCTTTATGATGACCAGAATGTAACAAGTATGCCCAATAAATATCCCCCTTAATCAGGTCATGACAGGTAAGGCAATCTAGGGAGCCCCTTCTACATGGGCACCTCATGTATCTTTACTACTTCGAAACAGCAAAAATCCCAGAAATAGTGTCAGATTTATTGGCACATCTTCCCTGCATGGTTTTAGGGATGAATGGAACTTAAGGGTAATTAATGGAAGAATGGGAATTGGGAATTCCAAAACAAGTGGGAAAGACCTTATCCCCATAGGAAAGCCATTTTTGAGATGTCACCCAAGAAATGTCTACAGATAAACAAAACAATGGCAAGCAAACAAACAACTAGCAACATGACCATATAAAACAGGTAAAGATCACAATCTAAAAGAAAGCAGATTTGAGAATGATGAGGGCAGTGAATGTACAAATGAGCTTTACACAAGTGATGTATGTATGGATTGTGATATGAGTTGTATGAGCCCCTAATACAGTGATTACAAAATAAATAAAAGAAATCAGAGAATATTAAAAGTTTATCATAAATTTGCATTGGGTTTTGAGAGAGAGCAAATGGCAAGGTGTTTTATTCCAGCCTAAAGACAGCTTCTAAAATACACTTTATGGTGCTTTTTTGCCTGGTAATAGGGTTGGTAACCTTCCCAGCCTGTATGTATTAGGTGTTCACCAAGAGCTCAATCCACGTTGTTCTGTTTTGCTTTTATCTCTGGAATCAAGTCACTGCTGCTCCCGTGGGTTTCCAAGACAGTCACTGTTGACGGGAGTAGAAAGCCCAGTCTTTGTCCAGCTGAGCTACTTACTGATGGTTTCGAACTTCCGACCGTAGATCATAGCCCAAAGCATAACCACTGCATCAGGTAGGGGCTTTGTAAATGGATTGGGGTTATGACGATCATCCTTTGCTTTCCACAAACCAAGTGCTTAGAATTTAAGCACTGTTCCCATTCCTCCCTCTAGTTTGGATCTTATTATTTGCAGTCCTTGAATCAGAAAGGCTTCTTCCCTGTGGATTTAGCTGAATCCTTACTTAGATGGCTTCTTGTTTTGAGATAATCCTTGAAAAAGCCAGGTGCTATTTTCATGATAGCTGGGTATGTCATAAGAACTCATTGTCCGTACATCAGGGCCACAATCAAGTGAGAGGTCAAACTCCATGCAGATAATGATTGTTTCTAGAAGTCCCTGGTTGCTTTTGGAGACATCTTTATCATTTTCTTGTAGTGCATCAGGGGTCTTCCTCCTGGAGCTTAAGGCCAATCGACTGAATGTTACATGATTTTAGTCAGTGTGAAACCACTGTTGAGCAAAGCGTTGTATACATGTGTGCAACTGATGGAGCTCCGGTGGTGCAGGGGTTACATGTCAGCCGGCGATTCAAATGGTCAGCAGTTTGAAACCACCAGCAGCTCCTCAGGAGAAAGACTGGGCTCTCTACTCCTGTAAACAGTTACAGTTTCAGAAACCCACAGAGGCTCACTAAGAGTCCAAATTGATTCAAGGGCCATGTTTGTTTTCTATATTGTTATAAATTCTTATCAGACTTCAATACATGAATTGTTAACTTGTGTATTTTCAAAATGTACACGAGTGGACAGAGTACCACATGCTATGAGGGTGGGAAATGTGGCAAGACTTTCAATAACAGTGACTTTCAAGGGCAGAACCATGCCTGATAGAATAACACATGTCACACAAAGGCAGAGAGAGCATGAAAACAGCAAAGGCATGTTGGT